AGCCATGCATTAATGGATTTTATTATCATTTAAATGTAGTCTATATCCATTATAGGTGTCTAGTGGAAAATCTTAAGCACTGACGGGCCCAAGACAAAATGGAATGGCGCGTCTGTCCCTGAACCTCCTTTTTTTTTGTTTGGAGCGACACTTCTTTTTTAATACAAAGAAGAAAGCCAATTATTATGGGGCTAGTCTTTTGATAGCATAGCACTTACCACGCATCACTTAAACACTTTTCATTAAAAAATATTAAGTAAACCTGATTTATTAAGAAGGAGAATACTTGATTAAGTTGAGAAATAAAAGTCTTGAGGCAAAGAATGATTGAAAAAGTTTGGAAAATATAAGATTTGTATTGCTTTGAAAATTCAATAATGATTACAAATGAGGAGGGGTGGAGTCTTTAATCCCTTGTATTTAGAATATTCTCACATTTTTAATGGACGGTGAAAATTAATTCAATCCTATAGTTGATATTAATTCTTTAGAATTCTTTACAAAATATTTTATAGAATTTTAATTAAAATATTCATGTTAGAGTTGTGTGGATTTTTCTAAAATTTCCCGACACATTCAAGCTTTTTGAGGAATTTATGGAGGATTCTAGAGCATTCTAAACCACCTAATGAAAAATTATGAATTGTGACACAAGGCTTGATAACATTACAAAAGCTTAGCTAAAGCCAAGAACATCAAAAGAGACAGTTTCCACACAAAACTCAGGACATGAATGCAGAAGCTGAAACTCCCTGCCCAGGGAATGGGCGGACCTTGCTATACTATCTGCATTTTGGAGCGACACTGGACACTTCACAACGTAAAAAGAGAACAAGTCTCCACTACATATCCAAATCCCAGAGGATAACATGCTCCAACAGAATATGCTTTTATCTAGTTTTTATATTTTTTTTTTGAGTTATGCATTCCTTTTAAATATTGAATAGCCCTGTGCAATGTCAGATTTCTATATTATTAAAGATTATATTGTGTTGCACTGAAATAAATTCACATTCACATCTGGGTTTATATATAGTTTTTCCAGCATTTTTTTTTTTCACAATCACATGTTGTATTTACTATTTGCACAATGTACAGAATAATCACATGACTTGTCACTTATAAACAGTGTAATTTGTTATTATTTTAATATTTTATATTAATTAAAATTTGATTCTCACAATTGATTAGTTTTTAAGTCTTCCCAAGGTCCCATGCCATATGAAGAAGTTTTGGAACCTAGCGACGGTGAAATTATTTAAGAAGCCTTGTGGCTAATATATTGTCATTCATTTATATATTCAAATTACTTTTTTAATTTTTTAAGCTGGAAAATCAAATATTAAACTTTTATAATCAAGTAATTCTAACATTTCATCCTCAATAAATTATAGAGCTAATCAATTTAATTCATTTTGTAATTTGTAATATATTTGGTCTTAAATAAGATTTAAGCAATTTTAATTTTGATAAATTCCATTCAACAACAGCAACTATTACTTGTATAATCAATAATATTCCATAAGTAAGACATGTAATTGAAAAAGAGTCCAATCTCTTAATATATTACTCCCTCTGTTCTAAATTATAAAGTACTTTTAAACAAAATCTCACAAACCAATAAATCTTATTAAATATATTTAATAATTTTATCTTTTCAAAATAAAAATATAAAATTTTAAAAATATTCATTATTTAATATATTGAAAGAAAAAGGGACAGGAATTAATTATAGAGAGAGAAAGGGTAAAATTAGAATTGATACATTTAGTGAAACTTTAATCTACCTAAAATGTTTTATATTCTGGGATAAAAAAAATTCCTTTAAAAATGCTTTATAATTTGAGATGGATGGAGTATTATGAGCGTTACCCTTTTTAATTAGAGAATCATTAATTGATATTGAAAATGAGAGTGATAAGTACAATGAACTGTAGTGTAAAAAATTTTTAATGGGGAGATGTAATTAACATTAATGTTTATTGAAGGAAAAATAATGACACTTTATATAGGATATATGCAAGAAATAATTTTTTTATGAAAATATGTAATTAATATTAATATTTAATGAAAAAATAATAGTTACTCTCTTCATTCAAAAATATAAAACATTTTTAACTAAATTTTATCTCTTAATAAAATAGTTACCTATTTTCTAACTAATCTTATCTTTTCATATTTATCCCTGTTAAACACTTTACAATAAATATAAAGTCATTATCAATAGGGGTACTTTAAAAAAAGATAATAATTATATCTTGAAAGATTAAAAATATCTTATATTTTTAAATATTTAACTTTTTAAAAAATATTTTATATTTTTAAATAAAGAGATTATTTGTATAAGATATGAATGAATATTTTGGAGGCCAAAGCTTATGGCCTCGATTGCCCAGCTAGTAGCATACACGACCTCCCGGCTTTGCCGGGTATGAATGAGTTATAATGTACGTAATTGGAGAATTGCGCGATGTGATGTGCATAATATGTGTGTAAAAACTTTAATCTCGACAATCCTCCTTTTAATGAACAGACTATCTGGTAGTTTTTTTTATCGAGGTACTATACACAATAAAAAAAAAATACCAAAATGCTATAAGAATTATTTTTCAAAATACTATATCTAAAATCGTGTAAGGGGAGAATGATTTTTAAAATTCATCAAACCAAAAATAATTTCTTCAATAGATCATTTCTCATGCTCCATAACTTGTTCTTGGCAGGGATGATTTATCAAGTTCATCTACCCCGTCCCATTATATGATTTGTGTAATAATTTTAGTAATCACTTGAATAAAAATGATGAATAAATAATTGTTACTAATATGATTAAGGAATTATTATAAGGTATATTAAATTAAAAATCATTAATAATAAATAAATAATTATTAGATTTTATAAAAATTAATAATGAATGATTAAGTTATATGAATGAAAAGTAAAAATTAATTTATCTCACAAATAGTGACTTTCAGTGTCACATCTTGTTTTCCTTCTCATATGTTATGTGGCCGTTGTTGTATGTGGCCGTTGTTGTTGTTGTTGTATGTTCCTCTCTTCCTGAGATTCAAGTGTTTCATTTATTTGTATAGTTGGCATATTTAAATTAAACTAAGGTGATTCAACTAAAGAAATCGACTGTTGAGAGGTGACATAGGCTTCATTTAATGATCCACCATGTTTAAAAGTAGAAGTGTTGTATTGAATAGAAAATAATACATGATCATCAAGTAAAGACATGAACAATCCAAATTGAGTGGAAGTAGGTGAGTTGGAAAGGGATGATGATGAGGGTGGCATATAATAAGATTGACTAAAATTTTAAAGTTCTTATTCCCCTATATTTTTATTTTCAATTGGTGGTTGGGTAAACAAGTAGCTGCCATGTTACTTGCTCCATCTATCTTAAGGAATTTGTGAATGAAGCAACTTATTTTTTGGTGGAGAAAGCTGAAGGTCCTTGTTAAGTCATTCTTCTTCCATTGCAAGTAAGATGTTGCGTTAGTCTTAAGCAACCCTATCTCAATAATCAATGCAACGAGAGCATTCTGAACAATAATTAATCATTAGCTTAAATAACTCCTTTGCTATGTCAACATAAAATAAATAATAAGACATTATATTATAACTCTTTTTTTCAAAAAAGAAAAAGGATGGTACAAGTAGAAGAAGGTAAAAAACATACGGCATGCCTAGTATCACTACTAATTTTAAAAACCTAACCCTTTTTACATTTTTGCTAATTCTACCCCTGATTATTATATAAAAAAATTAACTACATGTCTATATCTATAATTAAGAAAAAACTTAACATACAAAATATTGATGATTAAATATTAAGCTTTTACTAAAAAAATTAACTTTGATATAAAAGTTGGAAAAAATATTAAGAAAATTTATCTTAATTAGATAGAGAGTTAGGTTTTAACCAAATAAAAAGAAAGAAAATGCACTTCAAACTTTAATCACAATACTAACACCACCAACTAGAGTAAAGAAATGGAACATAAATAAAGAACTTTAAAGTTTAAATAAGAGAGAAATGAGAGAGTACAAGAAATGAAGCATGTACGAAGTGAAGTAGGAATGAGAAGTGCAAGAATAAAATATTAAAACACTAAGAAAATAAGAGCAAATAACATTATATTCACTAGGGTTTTTGAATCAAGTAGTCAAAATTATTAACAAGGTGACGCTCAAGGGAAAAAATGTGCATTAAACATTAGTAGAAATTTGAAAATAATATTAGTTGAGTGTTGTGAGCGATAGACGAAAATGACCTCTAAACAAATTGAAGAAGTCTTGCAATATCTGACCTCGATCTCACTACTGCCATCTTTATGTCTTCAATCCTTTATATAGCCAATACAATACACATGCACTTGAATTTTCTAATCCCACTCATGAAAAGCACAAGCTAGAAGAGTTCCTTAACAAATGAAGAAGGATTTGACAAAGCGATGACATGGAAAAAGAAAGCAAAGATTCAAATAAAATGTCACATTAATAATAAAAAATTGATTTCACATTTTATGGAATAAAAAATAATTTCTAACTCTAAAATTACTAGAACGACTTATTTACAATCTCAAACTCGTTCTCCTCCTAAACAATTTTTAGTGTAGTATTTTAATAAATACTTTTCACGCTGTAGTATTTAGATAATTTTTTTATTGTGTATTATATCTTGATAAAAAAGCCTAATATAGTTTGTTTTTAGGTGAATGACAAATAAGGACCTTGTGAAAATATTAATGTTAATTTAAAATTTTTTAACACTGATGTTTTCAAATTTCAGTACTTCTTTTACCATATTTTAGTATTAAAATTTTTAGTTTGGCATTAATGTTATCTCACAAGTTCCTTACTTAACATTCTCCCTTTGTTTTTGGTTCTGTGTTGTTGGTTGTTTCCTTCGTTTGTGTATGTTGCCATTCTTTTGAATGAAGCTTCTTTTACTATTCCAAAAAGTAAAAAAAAAAAAAAATAGACAGGCTGTATACATACCGGACCATATACAACTTGTGAATGCCCCGTCCTCATCATCATATAATTTTATGTTAAATAATCTTAAGCAAGCAATTGCAAAGCATAACACGCACAGACAGAGACACGCAAAGATGTATCATACATATATCTCACACGCGCTCGCGCACGTACGGCAATATCTTTGTGTGTATGAGATTGAGACTGACAAAAGTTTGACAGATGATTAACGAGATCAGAAGCAAATTGAAAGGCTGCAATGTCAAACAAAATGTTGAAGGAATTCATCCACAGTGGTGAACTTGACGTCAGGATAGAGCTGAGAAGCCTCCACTCCAAAAGATGGCTCTATGTCAAACCTTGTTTGATCTCCCTTCACAAAGCACGAGTGTCCTATTGACAGTAACACTACCTCCGGATATGACGATTCTGCAAATATAACATCACTTTCTGTCATTTTCTTTCAATTTTTAATTCACATATTAACTTTTTTCAGTTACCCATTACGTACCTTGGATCAGCTTCAAGAGTTGGTCCTCAGGAACGTAGACTCTTTCAAGAGACTTGCCAATCTTCTTCTCCCACAGAGATACAAGCTCATTAAACGAGTAAATGTTAGCCTCCGGTTTCACGTAGAGAGTTTTGTTCAAGGTTCTTGGATCATCCACGGCTTTTATGGTATAAATCGCAATATCTTCCTCCTTGTTGAAAACAGCTGTGTTCACACACCCACATGGCTCTTGATATGCAAAATACATACTATGTATAGTACCGAATGAATCATGCAACAGACACGTTACCTTTGGGATCTCCATCCCCCAAGATCACGACTTTATCTCTTGGGGGTACAGTGGCACCGGACTGGCACAAGCTCGGAAGGAAATAACCAGAAAAGAAGAAGTTACAGACGTAGGTGTAGGGTATCCCTTCAGCTTCGATGGCCCTGCGAATTTTTGCCTTTGTAGCGAACACAGTTTTTGCAGGATCCACTGTATTCACTCGATCCACATCATTCCCAAATTCTGAAGGAACGAATCTCTGTACACGAACGCACGTACGTATAATAATCAACACAAAACGTACATAGATAGAACCATATTTCATCAGAGTTGTCATCAATCATGTTACGAACAAAATGCTTTGCACATAACATACCTTAACATTTCCTGCTTCTTTCATGGCAGAAATGATCTTGTCTTGATCAGCTAACAGCTTGAAACCTACCGTACACACCACCACATCCACTTGTTTGATGGCCTTGACTAAACTTTCATGATCAAACAGATCTCCCTGCGTACAACCAGACAACGAAATGAACAGTAATTAGAGGGAGAACTAACGTCTGTTACATGGTTAAGAATTTAATAAAGACGTACGGGAACAAGATTGACACCCAAGGCCTTGAATCTTTCTATGATGGGTAATTTTGAAGGGTTGGAGAGAGTAGAGTGTCGGACTAGAGCGAAGGTTGGGTGGCCGGCGACAGCACTTGCTTCGACTAGGAACTTTCCGATGTATCCGGTGCCTCCGATGAAGAGAATCTTGGTAGCTGCGGCCATTGGTAAATTTCTGACAAGAAGATAATTTGTGAGTAGATGATATATCAGGAAACGCTGTATTAGTGACTTGTGAAGCTATGAACGTGCATCTCTGGCTTGATATTCGTGTGTATATATAATACAATTAGACCGCCTTTACGCTTGTTACTATTCATAAAGTATTAAAGTTATGGCACATCCTATCCTATCATTCATAAAGTAGACAAATTATGGTGAGGCGCTCTCACCATAGCGCGAGAGCTATATTACGATTAAAGAGCGGTTAGTATTACTCCATGAGGCTGCCCATAATTAAGCATGGTTACTTCTGTGACAGCCCGCGATGGCTTTCGCTTTTTTTTTTCAATAATTGAAAAACAATAATTGGATAGCGATCATATCTCGTTACAAGAGCCTCTGTTATGCTATGTGGTGTCATGTATATGATCAGTGTTTAGCTTCTTTTTATTTTTTAGATACTGTATATATCTCAAGAGAATCATCGCGAAGCCATAAAGCACAAACACACACCAATAGAAGCGCTAAACATCATAGAGTCAGTCTTTTATTTCACCGTGTCTAGATTCCATTTCAACGCTTCACTTAAAAACAAAAACAAAAACAAAAAAATAATAATCAATTTACTTTACACTTATATCTAACTGGGTCTCTATTATTAGGATATGTTTGGGTTTCCACGTCCAATATCCCAAAAATACTTTCTCATATTTTATATCCTAAACGTTGTTTCGGTAAATTATGAAAGGATAAAAAGATTTTCCAAAAGAACTTTCGTATCCTAAATACTGTCCCACTTATACATATATATAGGTTTTTTCCTGTGTTTTTATAACTTCAACTATTATTGTGTTTTAAATTTTTTATTATTAATAAATGGACTCTTTTTCCGATAAAAAGAAGAAAAGAAATGGAAATGTTAGTTAGAGAATTAACTATAAGGAATAAATCTGAAAAATTTTCATTTTAATAAACTAACTTTAAAAACTATATATTTAAATACGAATTTTATTATATCAACTGATTTTTATTGAATTAATTTTTATCAAACTTTTAATAAACTGGCTTTTGGATAACAAAAAATCAAACTTGTAATTAAAAAATGTATGAATAATTTGTAAGTTTCATCATTAATAAAATTAGCCCCCAGTCTAGCTCCTTCTTTTACTCAATTTTTCATAAGAATCGACAAGCGCAATTTTACTTTTATTCATAATTTTGCATGCATTATGCAAACAGTATAGCTTATCAGCATGAAATTTAATTTTAGTTACCTACCATTAGTTTTTCTCAGTACTGATTAAAATAAAAAGACTATAAGTAGCATAGCATTTCAATTACTCTTTTGGTGATTGAAGCCGAAGACCCTAAATCCTTTCTTTAACTCGATTGCAAATTTGTTGAAGAAAACTGAAATCCTGGTTAATTAGTGAGAATTTTAAAAAAGAAATTGTGAAATGGTGAAAAGTCTTGATGGCGTGGAATTGATCACAAGATCTCTTCAAAATTCTCAATCTAATTCGGAAGACCTAAACAAAACAATCGAAGCAAAGAAAAGTTAAATAGTTGATAATGGAGACGGTAATGGAAGATGTGGAGGAGTACAGTTAGAGAGAAGTGATATTTCCATCTCTGATTCCGAAGGTATCTCCGCCAGAGCTTGAGAGCGAAACAGGACAACAAAGAAGAGGAAGAGACATACCGGTAGCCATAGACCGCGGTTCCAACAGCAAGAACGCCTTCGATTGGGCTCTCGTCCACCTCTTTCGCCTCGCGTATACAATCCATCTCATTCACGCTGTCTCTGGTTAGTTCCTTCATTCTTGACCTAATTTCATCATCTTTCACCCGTCTCATTTTCATTCAAAACATAAATAATTAGATTTTAAAAGAATATATGACGGAAGAATCAGGTTCCACAAATTTTGTAAGAGAATAATGTGAATTGAAATTTGGCCAATATTTTAGGGAACATTTTGCGATATTTCTCTTATTGATTTATCTTTTATTTTAATACAAACCCATTACTGGAATTCGCATTTGATCATAAGAAACTTTTGTTATTTTTCAGACGTGAAGAACTAAATTGTTTGCGACGTCACCGAGAACCTCATGGATCGATTAGCTGTTGAGGCTTATAAAGTGCAATGGCTTGTTTTCCTTCTTTTTATACGTGCATTCGAGAGCACTTGAGGAGGGAGTCCTTGAGATGTCTAGAAAAGTCTGTCTTCACTGTAATTAAGAAAAGAAAATGGGATAAAAGACAAATCCCTTTGTGTTCCCTGAGCCTGAGATTTCCTGTATAGATCAGATCACAGGAAAGATGTTGGGAAGAACTTGTGCCATTTTAACATGGTGAACTTATGTATTGGATAGATGTTTGAATCTGAATAATAACCTGTTTATTAGGCCCAACCTGTTTGGGCCAACATGAGGGCCCAAACCTGATGTAATATAACTGTCTTTCTTGAGCAAGAAGAATCAACCCATTGCATGGAATACTGGAATCAGGAAATGCATGGTGTTTAGTGACTGTAGTGAGGTGGTTGCTCTCTTAAACGGTGGAGATATTTACCTGCATGCGTATAGGAACGAGATTTTGGAAGCAAGGAATATACTTGCACGAGAGTGGGATGCTGTCATTTGTCAGGTTCCTCGTGAACAGAATACTGAAGTTGATCTCCTGGCTAAGCGGGCGTTGGATACTGCTCCAGGCTTTTATTTTTTCTCCCCTGATGAACTAGCTAGTGGAGATTTGTTTAGACCTCCTTAGGCTTTTTGTTTGTTTATTTCCCTCTTATATATATAAAAAAAAAGAATCAACGCTTTGCCTAAATCTCTACTTAAAAGTCAAAACCTTTTGAGCTTGCGTGAAGCATAATGAACTCTGATATACTTTTTCACAAAGGAAGGATCATTGTTCTCCCAAATTGTGTTGCCAGTGTTATCAGCTAGGAGACACCGAAATGACTGCATTCTTTGTTAAATACTGATGCTCAGATCTGGCAGTTGGACTTGAAACTTCTTTTCAACAGTAGGAGTGTTTCTTTTGGAAACGAGAAACCATCTATGTCCAAGAGTTCATTGGCATGGTTCACAAATAATTATTTGCTTTATGTCTACAAACACGCTATTAAGAAACAGGTGTAGTGTGGATGATTTTGTGGAACATTTTTGTATGACTCTTGTGCCCGTTCTGACGATCATGTGTGTCACTGATGCTCATGGAAGCAGGTGAAGACACTGGCTCAGATTGTACAAGGCGATCCCGCGAAAGCAATCTGCAAGCAAGCAATGAGAATCGGGCCAGCGGCTGTGGTGCTAGGAACCAGAGGCAGAAGCTTAATTCAAAAGTTCAGTTTTCCACTCCCTGCCTCTTTTGCTAGCGTGTTCTTCGAGAGATTATTAAGCATTTGCCCTCTGTCAAAATAGATAAAATTAAGCTACTCATAAATAAGCATGTAAATGTAAAGGTTTAAGTAATAGAAAATATGTCTGAAATGTTTTAATCTCTCACAATTTACACCATAGTTTCAGGTCAGCTCCTTCTACGGTTCTGATCATATCTTTCCCTATTATCCTTATGTAGTTTTGTGCCCCATTCCTTTCCTTCTATTCTAAGTTTCTTCTTTCGAGACCTTGATTTTGTCCTCCCTTCAATAGCCAGTAGTTCCCCTCACTGTTTTCTCTCAGGTGAGGTTATTATTCTGTTTTCCTTTCAATATTGTCACGCACTGCAAAGTGGGTCCACTCGAGGAACCCTTATTGTACTTTGGTTTTGAATTTCTGGTGTTGATAAGTCTATAAATTTCTTCGGTGTACTGCAGGGAAGTGTAAGCGAGTAATGCTTTCATCACTGCAAAGTAGCCCCCATCGTGATAGTTCCTCGAAAAGGAGTGTGGCTGTGTGCCCTTACGTCCTTCTTCCCCAATGGAATTCTTGTCGCCTTTATCAAATTTGAACAATTCTGATTTTCTTTTGTTGCAGGCAGTGGCGGAGCCACGTTTGCACCCCTCAATTTGGCAAAGTTACAGGTGTACGGTGAGAAATTTAATATTTTACACAATCACACCTTATATTTTTATATTTTACACTTACATCCTTAATCAATTATTTGAGATCGCTCAAATCTGATTAAGATTTAAATATATTAATTACAAATTTTCCAAACCCATAATAATTTAGTTTAAGCATGATGAATTTTAACACAAAATATTAAACTCTTACTATACATGAGATAACCTTCATAAAAAAAATCATTATTTACCTTTTAATTACAAAATCAAATCCAAATTTTTCACAATGATTTTTTTTATTATTTACTTTTTATTTCTTGCTCAACAATATAATTTTAAAACATGAAATCACAAAATAATAATTTTTTTGTGATTATTTTTTACCTCTATTATTGTAATGTATATAATTATTTATCAATTATTAAATGTTTATTTTTATAATATTAATATTTTTAAATTAAATCGCACTCCCTGAGTTAAGGTCCTGACTCTGTCACTGGTTACAGGTGCTAGAAGCCTGAAAACGTGTCCATGACCTAATGAACACATCATATGAAGATGCAAGTCTGTTTGTCACCTATTTTCTTATTACGCTCAATTGAATGGGGTCATCTTCGGCCTCGGATCCAAAATTTCATTAAAACGGACCATTGTATGCGTATTCGTGCAAGGATAACACCCGCACACAAATACATATTCACATCGCAACGTGAGACAGAAATGAAAATTATTAGTACAGTACTCATCAAGTCAATCATTTCAGAGATGCAAATTTTGAATGTAATTAAGATCAAATAACTCCACTTTTGATCAGAATTCAATTCGCAAATCAAATTAATAAAAAATTATCTATTGGCAATTCTAATTTAAACACTGTTTGAAAATTTGAATCCTTCTATTTTCATATGTACAATTAGACTCGACATTTAAAATCGAATAAGATATAAACAAAACACACGCACATATTTGACTAATCTTTTTATACATTTGATTTTTATTTGCGGCAAGCAAATTCATCATTTGGTTATTGAAGCAGAGGACGGTGAACCTAAACCCCTTCCTTAAACTCTTCCGATGAGGGAATATATCTGTACCTAAATATATTTAAAGTCGTAACGGATACGCGCCATAAAATTTTATAAAGAAAGATTGAATTGAGATGCCTAAAAAGGCTTCACGGCGATCAAATTGATCACGAAATTGCAGAAATTAAGTCCTGTAGTGTGGATAAGTCCGAACAACAGAAGGCGAAAAAACAAAAAACGATAGTAACACTAGCCAGCCGAGCCATTCACACACGTTGATCAAGTTGGGCACGAAATTGTAGAAAATAAGACTAGATACAGAGCATCTGTTGACTATTCTTGCCATTACCCGCAAAGGAGGAAACAGAAGGCTAGATCGAAGATTATGGAGCCGGTAATGGAAGACGTGGTAGAGTACAGTTACAGGGAAGTGATACTTCCGTCGCTGATTCCGAAGGTGTCTCCGACCGAACTTGAGAGGGAAACAGGAGAACGGAGAAGAGGAAGAGACTTACTGGTAGCCATAGATCACGGCCCTAACAGCAAGCACGCTTTTGATTGGGCTCTCATCCACCTCTGCCGCCTCGCCGATACAATCCATCTCATTCACGCCGTCTCCGGTTTGTTCCCGATTCTCCACCAATTTCACCATTTTTCACTTATCTCGTTTTCAATTTCAACATAACATCTCTCTCGACTTTAATGTTCTTTAGTGACTCCTTAACTAAACATGACACCTTAATTGAAATTTCACCTGCACAATATATGATATTACTCTTCTTTCTTTCTCCCTCCCATTACTAGAATTTTTATTTGATCATGAGATTCATTTGGTATTTTTCAGACGTCAGTAGCCAGATTGTTTACGACACCACCCAGAGCCTCGTGGAGCAATTAGCGGTTGAGGCCTATAAAGTCGCAATGGTTAGTTTCTTTCTTTTTCTTTTTTCCATTATAATTTGAGAGCGCTTTGAGGAGTCCTTGAGATGTCTGGTAAAGTCTTGGGGTATCTGGACTGAAATTAAAGGGGAAAAATTAGCTGATAGACTAATTCTTTTGCGGTCCATGGTCTAAAAATTTCCTGTATTGATCATGGTAAAATGTTGTGAAGAACTGATGCCATTTTCAACATAGCGAACCCGAACTACCATTGTGCGGATTCAAATTTCAAATTGAGACTTTTTACGTATTGGCTAGATGCCTTAATTTTGAATAAGAAATGCCACTCCTTGTTAAGTGCTGAACCTCGGATTTGGCAATTCGATTTGAAGCTTATTTTCAGCAGTTGGAGTGTTTATTTACTTGCTTTACATGCATACACACACTTGTTCCCTGAGAAAATTTAATTTTTTTTTAAGTCTAAAAAAAAAACGACTTATTTTTTCAGTTTTTCCCTCATTCGTTATGTTAACACTCATAATTTTTCATGGATAATTACTTAGCATACATTATTCAACACGGGTAAAAATACAAAGATATTTCTTGAAATTACAAAATACTGAACAGTAATAGCTCGGTTAGAAAATGTACTGTGATTGATGATGATATGTAGTGATGTTGGTGACGGAAGCAGGTGAAGACAGTGGCTCGGATTGTGGAAGGTGATCCTGGAAAAGCAATCTGCAAGGAAGCAGAGAGAATCAAGCCTGCGGCCGTGGTTCTGGGAACCAGAGGCAGAAGCTTAATTCAAAGGTTTCACTTTTCACTTCCTTCTCTCTCTTCCGCTCTCGTGTGTACCTTGAGATAAGTACAACTTTCTATTAGATATATCTTGAAACTGGATGGAATGTTTTGGATGATGCTTGGAACAAGTCACAAGATATGGTTTTTTAAGCGTTTGTGACCTCGTATGTGTGGGTGTGCTGTTCTCCCCCACTTCATATAATCTTTATATTTTTATCTTGAATTTCTGGATCTGGAGTTCTTATGTATGCAAATTTATGATTCAGTGTACTGCAAGGAAGTGTTGGCGAATACTGCTTTCACCATTGTAAAGTAGCTCCTATTGTGGTAGTTCCTGGGAAAGGTGCGTGTGCCTTTGCCGTCCTTCTTCTCCTCCGTTTGAATTCCTTTTTTTTTTTTTGGACCATGTTCTCCGCTTGAATTCTTATGAGATTTGAATGAATTTATTTTAATTTAATTGCTTTTGTCGCAGATGCTGGAGACGAGTCAATCATCTAATGGCTGCATGGGTCCTCACATAATGAAGCTTGTGCTTCGTATCTGTAGTTTGATTGTATTTCTAACATTGTAGACTAGCGACTTAAGAAATGAATATTGTAATGGTGGTGCGCCAGGCAATTCATTGCTTCACATAAGGGCACACAATCCTAGTAGAATGCATAATACAGAGACACGTGTATACAAGAGCAAAGAATACAAAGAATATTCTAGAAATAGTAACTATAATCTGTACACGGACTATAGAAAGCCCAATAGACTATTTGGGCCCATGGTTATTGTAGTCCAGTCTTGTTTCATTATTGGGCCTTCTTCGTATTGTCTTAGCGTGACAAACTTGGTTGGGTAGAAGTGTGACGACATTGTTAAAGGAGCCTCTAATACATCAGGTGAAGGTGGAAGTCTGTTTGTACCTTGTGTCCAGAGTTTGCTTTATAGACCCGGAGTTTCTGTTATGGGCAAGCCCATGAGTGTGCTTGATGGGTAGAATTGTCCCGCCCGCTTCCAATAAAGGTTTAATAAAAGAAGGGAGCTTCTGTACCAAAAATGAAAAGGAAGAAAACTTGAATGGTCGCTTCATTTGCTATTTAATGAAGGAGGAGGACCTCTGTTAGAATTGAATTTAGAGCTGAACAAGGTTAATGGTTAGCTACTTTCAGGTAGATTGGTTATTCCTATCTGAACAAGCTGACAGCAAGTTTTTGTGGTCATGATTTAAGATTTTTAGACAAAAAAAGATCTCAGCCATTGGGTTTTCACTTGTTTCATTCTATAAGCAAGGGAATCTCTTTGGCATTTCTATCCCTTTTTGTGTTTTTAATCTGTTTTTTTTTTTTTTTTGTTGGCAGTGGCTCACCATGTGACAGTGAGAGAAGGGGAGTGATTCCACCAAAAAGGAGAAGTGGGGCCATGCCATGAAGGAAGGTAAAATCCAAAACCATCTCTCACAATCTGAGAGGAACAAAGAGAATCATGAGGATCTTGGCTATGTATGCCGGTGGATGAGAAGGTCCCACAAAAAAGAAATTGAATTTGCAGAATAAATAAAAATATTAGGCCTGAAAGAGAAGTAGAAGGAGAGGCTTTGATTTCTGAATTGAGTGGTGGGAAGGCGTTAGGAGGAACCTTAAATGGTCCTTCAATCAAGCTCTCTATGAATAGCTCCTTTGATGCATATTAAGACACCATTTTACGCCCCAACGCTTCCTCCCTTCCATACGTCTCTCGACTGGACTTTCCACACCCAATCGGTCAAATCAATTACTTCTTTCAAAATTTCAACTTTAAAATATGGTTAAAAAAGTTAAGACCAATTAATACTCCTATGGTAATAACTAATGATAAGTGAAATTTTATTTCTGCTGGTTTATTACCTTGTTTAAGGAAAAAGTATTAAATTACCAAATAGAGAGAAAGGTTTGTCATCAACAAAATAAATTGAAGAAAAACGACTTTCGACCAAGAAACTATTAAAGGAGACGATTTTCAAGGAGTAACATAACATTCACACCCAAAAAAAAAAACGAATAAATAAAAAAGAAACACAAAACGGCAATCGTGGCCATTCACAATAATCATGTTCCATGTTTCTTGTTAAATCACTCATGGTTCGATGAATTTATTTGTGATACTGCTTTGGATTTTTTTCATCATGAGATGTTTTCATTTTTTTGAATCAAATTGAAAGAAACGTAAAATTATTGAAAAAGCTGAGATAGTTGATGAAATCTGGGTTCTATGTATATGCTCCTGACAAACATGGAACCATATTCCTTAATTTCTTTTTCATTGTTTAATAGAACAGAATTCATTTTAGGGTCTGTTGAAGAACAGAAAAAGCAACCTAATAAATTGAACACATGCAAATTCCTACCTTTCTCCTTCCTCTTCCCCTCACAATAAAAGCTATGAATCCATCATTCTGTGCCTTTGTTTTCACTGTCACTTTCACTATCACTTTCACCATCAACCTCTTCCCCCCCCCCCAACCCTCACCCATCTTTTACAATTTTATTGTGGGAGGCTAACATGATATATTAAAGCAAAATGTTATGAATCCTACATCAAAAAGTCACATTCATGAAATGTAATTTATAAGTCAGCTAGACACTCACTCTATGAGGCACCTTTTGAAAATGAATTCTACTCGAAAGACTTACAGTCGTGACATAAGAATCATGATAAAAATGACTAAATTTTAATTAAAAATTATGAAATTTCAGTTGAAAAAAGTTCTTAATTTGTATTATTATCCTCGTTTCTCAAAGTTCTAAACTATCATTTTATTTTATTGCTTCCTCCACCATAATGGAACATAGAATACCTCTTCATGCAATTATAGGCACTTTCATTCAACAGTTAGTCCTAACTAAATCCTCCAAAATTTGTGACTCTCTCTTTTCAGTTTGAAAACAACATATTTTAAGAAATATTTACATATCATGTAGCATTTGGTTACTGAATATCTGATCTGTTATGTTCTCTTTAAATCACGAAAGTTATAATATCAAATGCGGATTTTAGATTAAATTTTAGAAACGTAAAAAAAAGATTCAAATCAAGATCAGTCTGATACAGAAAAAATATAATACAGCAGATTTGGCTATTTGAAATTTGGCTGTGCAATAGAGTGACTGAAGTTAAAAGATATTATTGTGATCTTATTTATACAACGGAGTGAGTATACAAACAATAATATATGGTTATGTACTTATTAAAAAAAAAAAAGAATCACGATAATAAGCATCCATTGGAACTGAGAAAATTCATCCCACAAAATTATAAAAAACAATTTATTGTCTACATCTCCATCTTTGGGTTGCTAGCTTCAATTACACCTGCACACATACACCGCATCCAGAAAGAAATTAAAGAAAGTGAGTAAATTTGCTATAATTAATTTGGTTTGAAAGGGAAAGAAGAAGATGAACGCAACGTAAAAGAAAACAGTTGCCAAAAAAAAAAAAGGGATCTGGGGCCTCTAAGGCTCTAATGTCTTAATCAGTGCTTGTTCAAAAATCCACTCAGCTTTGTTTGTTTCTTTCACTTTTAAAACATGAGAGCTTATATCCAAAAAAAAAAAAAAACGAGAGCTAAGGAAAAAAATTGATTTGACGGCACAAAAACTAAAGGATCATGTCATATTCAACATAATCTGCAGTACCTATGAATGGCCGGGAAAGAAAGGATGATGATGATGCTTGTGCTTGATCAAAACCCAGATTGATTGTATTATGAAGATTAGACTCGTAAGTAGAGGATGGTAGAAATTGCTGCAGTTTAAAAAAACAAAAAACGACTGTATCATGTGAAATCCGATCATTATTATATCCGTGGCAGAACATGAAAAGGAAGTCGATTATATTGTTCTTAATTATTGCATCGTTGAGAGAGACAGAAAGAATGAGTTTGACTTGAATAGATCAGTCACACTCTCATCCTCCTCTTACTTTCACCGCGTACCATGCAAATGCAATAACAACAGAACATCATTGTTTCTTCACTTCACAAGATACACAGAAGAAAAGGTGAAACGTACAGGAAAACAGCAGGAGTCAAGGAACGTTTCCGGAATTGAAGCAGGAAATTGCTGCCCTGAGTTGAACTGAAGATAAGCTGGATTGTTCATATCTGATCCCATCCCAATCGCTGCAAAACTTGGACCACAAGTACTAAAAACCTGTGCTAATCAAAAAAGAACCTTCTTAAATATCCTCGTAAACATAACTAGTACGGGTCTTGTTGTGTGTGTTTGCTGTATTACCTCTTTAGAGAACACATCATCAAGGTTGAAGTCAAGTGCTGGGTTTACAGCAGCTAATTTCATGGACAAGAACTGCAGAAACAACGAGTGAAAAAGCCATTATTTTGAAGTCCAGAGGGAAACCAGAAGTTGAATTGATTGGCGTGATTATGAAAGAGCTCAAACTACAAACCTCAACTTGGCGTTGAAGAGATTGAACATAGTTGATGATCTCGTCAAGCATTCCAGCTTTTCCTGTGATTTTGTTGCAACCAGGCACTAAATCCTGCAAATACTTCATTCGCTCGCTGATCTTTTCCCTTCTAACCTGCATCGACCACAGCATTTTGTGTTCATTTCAGGAAACAACAAACAAAGAAAGGAATTGTGAAGCTGTATATTGTGGGGGAAGGAATTTAACTCACTCTTTCTGCTAGGCTATGGCTGTCAGTGGCTTGGCCACGACGTGCTCGGACATGGATGTAATCTGTCTTTTGAACCTCGGACGCCTTCGAATTTCCCTTTGAGGAACCCATACATATTTCTTTGTTGTTGGTAGTGGTGTTCTTGCTGCTATTCTGCTCTGTTATTTTGGATTTCCCTTCCTCTCCGCTTCCTTTCATCTTCTTCTCTCTGCTTTCACTTTCTGCAACAACCTGAACAAAACCAAATCCACCCATTATTCTTCATCGCCGGTTCACCTCATAAAACGACTGTTTAAGTTTAACTTAAACACACCTTGGAGCTAGCAGCCCTATCGGATTTTCTCTTCTTGAAGCTGTGTTTCCCGCATGCAGAGCTCGTCTTTTCCTTCTCTGAAACAGAGTCTCTGCCTCTGGGTTCTTCAACTGCTGCCATGGAAGTCGTCGAAATTGCAGAACTCCGTTCCAAGCCGAAACCGGGAAGGCGGAGGTGGCCCAGTTCAGGCTTGATGGAGCGGGCCACCACCTCACCGAGCGCAGAATCGCCATAGAAGCTCTGGCTTTGGTGAGATTGAAGCTGATGTTGCTCTTGTTGCCACTTCAACCTCATCCTCTGCCGTTCCAACACCGTCAAGTCGGAATTGAGACAACGCAACATGTTAAGAGGAGAATGAAAACAAAAGAGCCGGAGAAGAAGGTGGCTGGTGGTGCAGAGGAGTAGGAAGTGAGGGAATTCTAAAGCTTCCAAAATGGAGAAACCGTCATGCCCAATAGGAGGGAGGTCATGTGAATTGCGAAGCCAAGGGACAAGCGAGGGAGGGAGGGCAAGACCAGTGAAGTGAAACGTCCCTTGATGAACAACTCGGGAAGTTGGCTATTTATATGTCGCAAAATCACTAGAGAAAGTTATGAATGCTTTAATCATTTTAGTAAAATTATAAATTTTAAAACTAAAGCTATATTTTTTATATTAAAAATATTTTTATTATTTTATTAAAATTTTTGATAACAATTAAGTCCCTTAAAATTTAAAAAATATTATTATATTTTATGAAATTAAATTATCATTTACTTATTCAAAAAGAATTTATTTATCTTTCTCTCAAAAATCAAACAAGCCATATTTTAAAAATTGATAATTTTTTTATATTAATAAGTTATGTTTAAATATTTATAAATGATAACTTAGATAGTTACAACAATTTATCCATGGTTATGTAATAATTTACATAAATAATTGAAAACAAAAATTATAATATATGTTTCATCTTGGAATATATAACTAAAAGGTTTCAGTAATTCATTAAAACTTACCTTTTGAACGATGAAGGGTACTCCTACAGCTCCAACAATTGGCAGTTTGGGTGCCAACAGTGACGGCCTACTCACCCGCAATAGAGCTCTGACGGTCAGCAATGGTGAATCTTAAACAGAGAGACAAAAACACTTGTGTCACTACAACAAGAAATTTAATTGATATAACACCATTTGCCCAGCATAGGAGTTTTAGATTTATTTGAGTCTTCTTTACAAATTTTTGTTTATGAGTGCCCTCACTGCATTTCTGACTTTATTTTAAAGAACTTAAGATTACTCTGTGGCTATGATCAAATGAAATACCACACCACCCATACACAAGACATGAAATAAAGATTTAAAAAATTAATGCAATTAATAGACATTAGTCTTTGTGAGAGTCAATATGGTCGTTTAAGTATAAAATCTTAAATTTGAGTTTATAAGCAAAAAATGTTTTTGAGATAATTACTTTTAATTGGGCAACAATCTTTGAATATAATTTAGTTACATGGTTATATATAAAAAAAAGGTTAAAAGGCAAAAATACCTTTAAAATTTTCTTCCAAAAGCATTTAGTATTTTAAAGTGAAGAAAGGTGTAAAAGTACTCCTAACATTGATGAAATGAGTATAAAAACACTCAAACTATTAAATTTGATTAATGTCCATGAACATTAATCATTAAAAAAAGGAAGTAAATATAATGTGTAAAAATAATCATAAACTTTTTACCTAGGTGCAAAAATACCTGAATTATAAAATATTATATTATAGTATATTATATTATTTTAATCAATTTTAATTTTATTTTATTAATAATAAAAAAATTTAAGGTATTCTGGCCAAGCCTAACCAAGTTTGGGCTAGGCTCAAATTAATAGGCCAATCTTTTTCAATCCATTAAGTTATATTCTTAAAGTTTTTTTTTATCAACATTAAGTTATTTTAATGGTTGGCAAAAGTTAGATTTGATAATTTGGATCAAACATGACATGCTAGCCTAAATAAATTCAAAAAATTTTAGTATTAGGTCTAAGAGTTTAAAAAAAATTTTTTATTTTGAGCTTATTTGAGCCACTAAAATAAGCCCAAATAAATCTAAGCAAGTCCAAATTCGAATGAGCTTAGTTCGAATAACAGAATTATTTTTTATTATTAAAAATAAAATTAAAATCAAATAAAATTGAAATTGACTAAAGAAATAAAATAAAATAATATTTTATAATATGGGTATTTGTGCACATAGATGAAAATTTTTTGAGTATTTTTATAACTTATTTTTGTTTCTTTTTTTAGTGGTCAAATTTAATAAATTGAGTATTTTTACACCCACTTCATTAACATTAAGAGTATTTTTGCACCCTCCTTTACTTAAAAATATTGTGTACTCTTAGGTAAAAATTCAAGGATATTTTCATCCCTTAACCATTAAAAAAAATAATACAACTAATATATGCACACTTTCTCATAAGGCTGAATAAAGGACTTTATTTTAAAGAACTTAAGATTACTCTGTGGCTATGATCAAATGAAATACTACACCACCCATACACAAGACATGAAATAGAGATTTAAAAAATAATGTAATTAATAGACGTTAGTCTTTGTGAGAGTCAATATGGTCATTTAAATATAAAATCTTAAATTTGAGTTTATAAGCAAAAAATATTTTTGAGATAATTACTTTTAATTGGGCTACAATCTTCGAATATAATTTAGTTACATAGTTATATATAAAAAAAAATTAGAAGGCAAAAATACTCTTAAAGTTTTCCTCCAAAGGCATTTAGTATTTTTAAGTGAAGAAAGATAGAAAAGTACTCCTTGATGAAATGAGTGTAAAATCACTCAAACTATTAAATTTGATTAATGTCAATTAACATTAATTATTAAAAAAAGGAAGTAAATATAATGTGTAGAAATAGTCATAAAATTTTTACCTAAGTGCAAAAATACCTGAATTATAAAATATTATATTATATTATTTGTCAATTTTAATTTTATCTAATTTTAATTTTATTTTATTAATAATAAAAAAGAATTTAATGTATTTTGGCCAAGCCTGACCAAGTTTAGGCTCGGCACAAATTAATAGGCCAACATTTTTCAATTCATTAAGCTCTATTCTTAAAGTTTTTTCATCAATATCAAGTTATTTTAATAGTTGAAAAAAATTAGATCTGATAATTTGGATCAAACCTGACGTGCTAGCCTAAGCAAGCTCAAAAAATTTTAGTATTGGGTCTGAGAGTTTAAAAAATTTTCTTTATTTTGAGCTTATTTAAGCCACCAAAATAAGCCCAAATAAATCTAAGCAAGTCTAAATCCAGATGAGCTTAGTTCAAATATCAAAATTATTTTTTATTATTAAAAATAAAATTGAAATTGACTAAAAAACTAAAATAATATTTTATAATTTGAGTAGTTTTGCACATAGATAAAAATTTTATGAGTATTTTTATAACTTATGTTTGTTTCCTTTTTTAGTGGTCAAATTTAATAATTTGAGTATTTTTACACCCACTTCATTAACATTAAGAGTATTTATGCACCCTCCTTTACTTAAAAATATTGTGTACTCTTGGGTAAAAATTCAAGAATATTTTCATCCCTTAACCATTAAAAAAAAATAATACAACTACTATATGCATACCATGGTATTCAAACCCGAACCGAACCAACCTAGTCAACCCAAAAACTGGTGACCCAGTCCCTTATTCGATCTGGGTTTACTCCTAAACTGGTGAGAGAATAAACTGATGTAAATTGGTCAACCCGATATAACCCGGATAACCTAGTGGGTTGACTGGGTTAATCGATTTATTATTTTTTCAGACAAAACCCGTAAAACAACATCATTTGGGAAATTTTTTTTATTTTTAATTTTTCAGAGCATTGAGTTCAGAAATAATATAACAAAAAAAAGTGAAATTGAAGTAAAAAATGAAAAATTAGAGGCAAAACACGCTAAGTCTAATCCAGATTTCTAGACAGCATTTAGTTCGGCCTTTCGTTTGTGTCTCTCCTCTCTCACCCTAACCTAATCGGCGTCTCTTCTCTAGCTCAGTCTCCATCTCTTCTCTAAGTTCCAGCTCTATCTTTGTCTCTGCTCCAGCTTAGTCTTTAACTCTCTGTCTCTTCTCTAGCCCTATCTCCGTCTCTACTGTCTCCGTCTCTTCTCCAGCTCAATCTTCATCTCTTCTCCAGCTCTGTCTCCATCTCTTCTCTAAACTTTTGAGACTGAAGGGTTGTAATTGTAAGGATAGATATTTAAAGTGTTGTATTTTATTATTGTTAGATTTTTGAGTGGTTGGATTTGGTTGAATATTTTTATAATTAATGTCTTTTTATTTAAATTGTATTATTTTAATCATGACCGATTTGTCAACGGTTTAACCTCCGGTTCAACCCTGATTGAATCATTAACTCATGACCCAGTACCATGGCCGGTTTAATGACCGATCTGATTTTATGTACCTTGATGCACACTCTCTTATAAGGTTGAACAAAGGATTAACTCGACAAGATTTCGGCCTAACTTGAAGTCCAGTCCTTTTCATGAGAAGGACTGAGTTAAGGAATCAATGGTCTGGTCTGATTCTAGTATAACTTGAAGCTGAATAAGACCGAATTGGTCCAATAAGATTAGGAGAGTGATCCTGATTTTGTCTAGCATCTCACTTTATGTTTATACCTTTTTCATCTATGAGACATAACAATTTATTTCAACATAATAAAATTACTTATAATTATATACAAATTTTGACAACAACAATAATTATAAATCCACAACAATATCTAACAATGAGAAAAGAATATTTTAGTTACAATACAAAATACTTAAATTAAACAACCTTTAACATGTTTAAAATTTATTACATTAAGTTAACAACAAATTTTACCACTAAAAGAAGAAGATTGAGGTTGGTCAATGCTAAAAGTTTACTCAATATCCATAACTTCACAAGCATAACATATAAAAAATTACTAATTATTATTATAAATTAATTTATTATGATAATAATAAATAAATAAATAAAAATATAATTATATTAAATAAATTTATAAGATCAGATCGCACCAAGTGATTTAAATATTTGATCTTTTATTCAATTCAACCTAAATAAAGAGTTAGCCCTTTTAATCCTATCTAGATCAAATAAAATTAAATTTGTTTCAAGTTAAGTCGGGCCAAACTAAATTGAAAAACTTCTATACAATCCTAATCCCTCAACTATATGCACGCCATGGTAATGGACTAATGGTGAAATGGGCGTGATTGCCTCGTGATGAGGAGAGAGACTGAAATAAGTGGGGCTGACCGCCAACCAAGGTGGGTTGTGGGTGCTGGGCCCCACATCGAAATGACCGTCACGTGAGCCTGTCCCGCCCCCCATTTCCTAAACGATGACGTTTTTCTCCATGCGGAGTCCCTTGCCTTTCTGCCATAATTTGCACGAACTCTTGTAATAAAATATTACTTTAAATTTTAAAACTCAATGTGGTTTCTATTTTTTTATCATTGTTTTTTATAATATCTTAATTTTTATGGAACCAAAAAATAATTAGTTTCGATTCTACAAAGTAGAGTTTCTGATCTTGATCAAAAAATTTTGTTTACAAATATTCATATAAAACAAAAAGAATATTAAATTATTCACTAAGTCAAATCACTTTCTTCCATTTTTGGGCACCTGAATCCACGTCCCTTTTTTAAAAAATCTCAATTACAAGGAACTGTGAGTATAATCATTTCATAACAACATAAAGCTATTTAAAAATTTGTATTTTTAAATGCCATAATATATGTTTTAAATAAATATATATTTATTGTTAAATGTTGTCATCATAGTAAGTAAGCATACAATTAACAGGCATCAACATTATTTTAATTATTATTTTTAAAAAACTTCATATGTTTTACTTTAGTAAACTTAAATTTGACAATAAAAATATAAATATACAATATTTGTTCTTTTTAATAAATGATACTTGCTCTATTTAAAAAAATATAGGGCATTCAATTAGAAAATATATATAAGACATTGCTAATAGGAGTTGGGTTTAACAAAAAGAGCTAGTTTTTCACAATGTGAGGAATTAAGGTTTGAATTCTCATT